GCCCGTGGAACTGTCTCGTCAATTCCAGACGAAGACAGTAAGGATGATGATGTCTTTTTGGCCTCACACCATCAGCCAACATCATCCACACTAGTCGTCAGACTCCTCAAAACACAGGAAAACGATGTAGAAAATTTGGCATGGAGCGTTTAGCCTGAAATAGCCATCGGCATAAAGCCATTTTTGTATTTGTGTGTGTGTGTGTGTTTTTTATTTTCTCATCTCCTTTTTCTTTTTTCCTTTTATCTTCTCATTTTTTCTTTTTTAATTGCTTTATATATCTGCTCTAGATATAAAATATTGCCTGATGAGTTTTATTTTCAAATAAAACGAAACGCGTCGCAATAAACAAAAATTTTATTTTCTATGGCACCACGAATAATAATATAAGCAAGCATATATATATATATACTTATATATAAAATACAAAAAATAGTTGAAGTGTTTTTTATACAAAAAACATTCAACCGTATAAATTAAAGCTTTAAGTTGGGTTCAAGGAGTCTTAAGCCAAGGCACTTGTTCTCGTATCACTCTTTATCTCTGCTAATATCAGTCAGAAACGCGTCTAGTAACAGTTTCTGTTTGTTATTCACCAAGGAACAGAAACTGCTTGAAGTATGTAAACTCTGTTTCTCGTATGAATGAATTTATGTGAATAAGAATGTTTTTCAAGAAGAACGTGGCACTAATTGCCCAATGAGTGGAATGCAACAAAACAAACTGTTTTGTCGCATAAATACTCTACTCTCATTTCATTATTCAGAAATATTGGCTTGTAACAGAAAATCATACAAAGGCAGTTTTTCCGTACACAAATAAGAAGGATCAAATATCGTCGAGAACAATGATGAAGAAGCAGTTATTGTTGATTTTAATTTGGTTGTTGTAAGTAGCTTTATTTGACAGCAGAAATTTTTAGTTTCTTAGCTATTGGCGTATTTTTTCAGGACACTGGCAGAAATAGCGACAGCTGCTGCTGCAACAACCAGAACAACAGAAAAAACAACGACAAAATTGCCGACGACAAAGACAACAACGAGAGCAGCAACAACAACCACTATGACCACAACTACAACCACTACGACGACGACCACCACTACAACAACAGCATGTAAGTGAGTTTACGCCGCACTCATTTTTCTAAACGAACTAGCCTCTGCTTCATTGCAGCACCCGATTCCTTTGCAACTTGTTCTCCGTCCTCTTGTGGCGGCAGAAGCGTTGAACTGTCCTGCTCTTCCAATGTCGACTGTGACTGTCTCCAACTGGCAAACAACAGCTCTTCCGGAATCTGTGCTTACTCACTTTTGCCGTGTGACGCTGTTCAGCCGTGTTCAAATAATAGCTTCTTCTGTTCGAATCCGAATTCTGTTTGTATCAATAACACTCGATGTGGTCAGCAACTGACGTGTCTTCCATTACAATTAGCTGCAATTCAAGTGTGTCCACCGCGAACCGCAGGACAAAGTAAGTTTTGTCCAGCGAAGACATGAAAGCTTTTTAAAAGTATTTTTGATTTCTATAGTTTCTTTTAGCATGAGCCTAACATAATATTTTTTACTTTTGATTGCAAATGGTGGCGACCAGCTATACTCCCATAATAACATGATGGTTATAGATACGCGGGCTTTGCGATCTGATCGTTCCGTCTGTTTAGCGATTACTACGAATAACGTGAGACAGAGATCAACGTCAGAAACTAGAGTGCTACATAAACACAACAAATTTTTGCAAAAGTCATTTCCTATCATTTTCTTAGTCTTTCACCCGTCCCTGGAGATTCTGCCTTATGATAGACCCGTATTCAGTTTCTCTTCGTAAAAGTCTGCGTCAGTGCATTTCATCACTTTTCCCCGTGCTTCTTACTAATTTAAGCGTGTAAAGTCTCCCCAGAAACGGTTGTATTCTACACCAGTTGGTATCGTATAAACCCTTGATCTCACCATCGTTTCTAGAGTCATTTCAAAGTACACAGGTAGAAACAGACAAACGCAAAATAACAGGATGCATGCTGAGAACGAGAGACGGTACAATCTTCTCCTCTTTTGGGGACTCAGAGAGCCAAGCCATACAGTTACTCGTTAGTGCTTATCTTCTATAAAGTTATTTTTCAAAAAAAATGGAAACAAAAATATTTTCTTCTTTTTGCTAGCAACAACTACCACTGCCACCACCACAGTTCAGCAGATTTGTTCTTCTGCTACATGGAATTCAAATGGAACAACTCTTCCAATCGCTAATGTAACTGCTCCAGAGGACGTTGGTGTTGATAGTCGACAAAATCTAATTGTCTACAGTGGCGGTCACTTATTGAAATATTTCAATAACGGCACAACCGTCTCATTGTTATCCGGACTGACGGGTGGTTATTTATTTATTGATCAGCATGATAATATTTATTTTAGTGACGGAGAGAATAATCGTGTACTACTGTTAAGTTTCAATGGTTCAGTGACAACAGTCGCGGGTAACGGTACCTTCAACGGTTCTGGACCTCCTCAGTTCGCCTTTCCAGAGGGCATTTATGTTGATAAAAATGGTTCCGTCTACGTTGCTGATAGCAATAATAACCGAGTAGTTAAATGGTTGGCAGGTACAACTCAAGTTACTGTTGTAGCTGGTGGAAACGGATATGGAAATCAGTCAAATCAACTTTCGTATGCCATGGGCATTTTTGTTGATGAAATCAATGATGGAGCAGTTTATGTGTGTGATACATACGCCAACAGAATACAGAAATGGTTGCCGAACGCAACTGCAGGTACAACTGTTGCCGGAGGTAACGGTAATGGTTCAGCTTTAAATCAACTATATATGCCCACCGCAATTATTTTCGATCCAAACACCAAAATCATGTTTATATCGGATTATGGCAATAATCGTGTATTAAAATGGTTAGTAGGAGCGAGTTCAGGTACGGTTCTTGCGGGTGGAAATGGTACGGGAAATGGAACTAATCAGCTGAACACTCCAAATCAATGCGCATTTGATTCAAAGGGGAATTTCTATGTGGCAGATTATGGAAACAACAGAATACAAAAGTTTGCCTTTAATACATCGTCGTGTCCAGCCCAGCATGGTTAAAAGAGTGCAAGTCGACGTCCTTTTCAAAGAGTGAGTTTTTTTTTCGTCTGAGATTTTGCTGTTTCAGATATCGTTGTGATTCATTTTACTAATCTCGCATTCTTTTTAAAGCTTCATTTGTTAACTTACTTTGAAATTTCTATTAATTTATCACAAGCACCAAGTCTTTGTTTTTCATCGCCTCTGCAGGGCACTACAGTTACAACTTTGTTCCTTCCTACAGACAGACTCATATTCCTGATCCCAAAATTCGTAAACCTGAAATGTTATGTTTTGGTAAAAATTAAATTTATTAGCTTCTTACCGACGGAATCTGATTCGTTTTTTGTGAATGAGGTCCATAACGAGTGTATCTGAGCGATTTTTTGTTCTAATCATAACTCCGTCAAATATTCGAATTCAAAGCTGAAAATTTTACTAGAGACTCTTGACGTATAGAAGAACAAAGTCTAATAGACAGAATCGAATTCTAAGATATTTCTTGTGTCTTCCTTTTTATTGTGTTTCATAGCTTCTAAAAACAATTTCATTTATTATTGAAAATGTGAGCAATACTATTTTATCAACATCCCATATGTAAAAGTAATATGAAATCAACGGCAATTTTACCAAAATTAACGCGTTATATTCGTTAAATCGTTAAAAATTCATTAAATTTCTTCTTCGCTTCAAGTCGGTTCGAATGCCGTGTGAAACAAGATTTCATCTCTTAAGGCAAGGGACGATGCCGGAGGATCACGTTTTTGAGTTCCCTGGAAAACGAATTTTTTTCGGCCGGCTTTGTAATATGCGAAAACTTTAAAACCATATTTTCATACGTATTTTGCAATGCGGATTCAGAAAACAAATGTTTCAAAGCTCCGAAATGCTCGGATTATTTTTCAACAGATAAACACAAGGTAATAGATAAATATATCGGATGATAGAGAATTTTAAGCTCTATCAGAATATATAATTCCTCTTTTAGAAAGATATTTCTGTAGTGATGAAAAGTTTAAAAAGCTAGTTGAGAAGATAAAATCCTGTCCGCGGGAATCTGGACATGAAGGTGCCTTCATTCCACTTGATTAATTTTTTAGGAGATACAAGCAAGGTAAAATCAAAATACATAGTTTGATAGAGAATTCCAAGGGTTATTGATTGATAAAATTACTTTTTTCAAAATGCCCTTTTAGTGTGTCAAAAAGACCCAAATACTGACTGCAGCTTTTCCTTTCCAGGGGTATAGATTAAATCCCATGATTTGATTGGCGGATATTTCACCGGTTTACCACCAGAACAACACGTTAGTATACGTGTCACTACTTCCTTTGGTATTTATTTCAATAAAAAGAGCGATACTTTGATGCGCGGTAGAAAACACACGTTTGGAATGATGCGAATGTGCAATAACGCAATGAGGTGTAGATACGCAACAGTCATTAGTCAACTCTTTGTCGATGGCCACTGGTCAATGAAGGGCTCAACGCTGTGAAACTGAGATCAGCGGATTGAGTCAAATGAGGCGTTTATGTGAGACAAAGAGGGCTCGGGTCAGTTGAGCTCTAAGAAAGAGACCCTGCTCTAGTCGAATCTCAACTGGAGATATATGAATCTTACGGTGAGGGTGTGACCACTTTGTACAGTCTGGAATTAATCTTTAACGAGATTTGTCAAGAAAAATATTATCCATCGCGCGAAAAGTTCGCTGAGCTCTCTCGTCTCCTTTCGATAGACAAAAAGAATTTGAATCGGAGACAAATAGTCATGTTCACGGAATTTCCCTCCAAGTTGAGAGTCAATCGACAACTGATTTGATCAAACGACAGGAAGAAATACTCCTTGTCGGTCAAGTCCAGAAACTTTGTTCTTCATTCGAATACTGTCTCAAAGTCATTTCGAACACAAGATTCTTTTTCTCTTCTAATATCCCTCTGAACTTCTCTTTCTTCCAGAACACAATCCACATCGAAATCCACCAAGCAAAAGGTCACACAGTCAGACACTCGCTCGGCGGTGTATTTGGAGAGACACAATTGACGGACGGAGAAATGGAGGTTGTGGTGACACAGGCCGTCATCAACAAACAGTGCACGAGCCTTCGGTTAGGATGTACGTCTGATTGTTGTTGTTCATCGCTTGAATGGAATTTGGTGATGAATTGCGTCGCAGGAGAATGTCGACCAGATGTTCGTTATTCTGAATATCAATGAAATAAGTTGAAATCATCGACGAAGCAAAATCGATGTCTTACATACATGCAGGCATGTATAGTGCAAAATATTGTTCGTCAAATGATCCACCGCTTCCAGATTCTGGCTCATGACAAGTAACATATCTGAATATGCAAAGAATAAAAAAGTCCGATATTAAAATATCACGAAGATCTCGCTGCCCGAATATACTTTTTTGTTAATACAAAAATCACGATCTTAGAAATGCGGAAAATAACGGCTATTTTCTCAGAGTCCTCCAGAACTTTTACCTAGCACATTCGATAATTATGAAGCTCACGCTCTGTGTTTTTAGTCGGTATGTCTACGTTTTATATTTCTCTTACATCACTACCTATGCTGCACACAAATTTTCAGGAAAAACATAAAACAAAACGTTTCTATAAAAGAAACTATGTAAAATAAAAAGGAATTGCTTTTGCGTATTTAATATATATGTAGATTCTACACCCCAAGGTCGGAATTTCAAAAAAATACAAGTTCTTTGAATGAGATGTTTTGTAACAATATAAGTATTTCTAGATCTAGTTTTCGGACTCTAGTTCTATATAAGAAAGTATGACGCTCTATAGTTTATATTAGCGACTGACATGTTATTGAAAACCTAGAGAAAAGATTTTCGTTTATTGTCTTACAATTTAGATTTACGAAGCTAGTAATGAGCCTTTTTTCTGATGTAGTGTTTGTTGTGTTTCTCAGCAAACATTTTTTTGACGTGTCTCCCGTTGATCTTTCTCTCAAATCGATTTTCTTACTCATGCCTGATAAAACCATGTATTTTGCTTTATTTTACGTGCTAAATCATTGATAGTGAGCCAATAATTATACGAGAAAACTCCAGAAAATATTGCAAAAATAAATAAAAAAAAGAAAGACCATTTCGTCTATTAGCTACCTGTTCGCGTTGAAATGGAGAACTACCTAATTTTAAGTCAGCTAAGAGGTATTATACTATGATCTAGACATTTTACTCCTAATTCAAAATTTTACTTTCCCCTGAACTTTTAATCACCACAAAAATTTAAGGGACTTATTAAAATCCGACGCAAACGTTATGAATCAATTAGAAATTTGGCGGGCACTGCATCACTTGAGTAGTATTTTTTCTCCCAACGTTTTGTACACTGAATATCTCTAGAATACTTTTTCTTCTTAAGGTTGAAAATCAAGTACATCAACGAAGTAAGGATGACGAACCAGAGGATTTGGTATGACGATCATTTATAGTCACTCATAAATTATTATAATCTTTACAGACGTTTTGTTATTTATAGGAATCAAATGGTATCAATTTGTTTGATATACGTAGACGAACACCAGCCGAATATTCATTAAATATTTTAAAAGAATTATTTTCAAGGGAAGAACTTCAAACAAGAAAACTACCGCGAAATCGGCTGTTGAAAAAGTTAACAAATTAACAATTAACAGATAAACAACTGGATTTAGAAAAAATTGATTTACTAAAACGTCGGTAGCCTTCTGTCTTGACTGATCATGTATCACCTAACAGTTGTTTCCTTTTAAGGTGCAGTTTAAAAACCGTTTAAGCTTAGAAAATCAATATTCGCAGATCTGTGGAAAATAAAATTATATCCGTCGTTATCGCTAAGGTGTTTGGACGTAAAAAATAAGAAAAAATTAGTTATTCTTTTTTTGTTTTTCCTATGAAAGTTGTGTTTTTTACGTGGTTTATGTTTTGTGAAATAAAAAGAACCATAGTAAAGGAAGGAATCGCTTTTGGACAAATAACAAATGCTATTGAACAAATCAATTCAATCAGTAATTTACGGTGGCTTTTTTCAACAAGATTCTTATAAAATTCTTACTGAATCTTATCAAAATCTTCTAAGAACCTTACCGAACACTTATCAGTTACATGGGAAATCTTATATAAGATTTTTGTAAGACTGCCATAAGACTCTCATAAGAATCTGGTAAAAATCCTGTAAGAATCTTACATGATTCTAACAAGATATTTATTAGATTCTTATATAAGATTCGATGTCTGGGGAAACAATCAATATCAACATGCCGTATAATGATTATGCAACTTATTTCTCCAGTAATGGGTAAGAGATCAATAATCCTCTAACCCCTCTGAGCTTAGTAATAGTATTAATATCCTGTGACAGGTATTAATACCCGTTTCCGTATAAGGCGCCGCTAATTCAAAGTTACGACAAGATTTTATTTTTGAAAAGTTGGACAAATAACAAATGCTATTGAACAAGTCAATTCAACTGGACATATTAGAAAAGATATTTCCAAGTCAAGAGCGAGACAAAGAGCACGTACGAGAAAGTAGGCGTAATACTGAGAAAACTGAATTATAATAGCATTAATGAGTTCTGACTGTTTTTCTGGTGTGAACTCGATTGCGTGACAGATTTTATAGGTCTTATACGAAGTTTAGACAGTGTATTAATCACACCCTCACCCTTAAAAAATACCTTTTATTACCTCTTGTGCATCCGCCTTGGACATTTTGTTTGTCATACACAACTTGAAGCAGATTGCTTCAGTTTTTCGGTTTTTTTTTAGACTAGAAGAACACGAGCATTTACTGGATGAATATTCAAAAATTGTTGGAATACTTGCAGAAGAAAGTGTCCTTATGGATGCTATTAAACAAAATGTCGAGTTAATTCAAGAACATAGCTTTTATGACCAAAAACAATCCTATATTCGGGATCTCTCTAACGAATCCGCATCATTTATTTGCTTCCAATTGTTCAAAGAGTTTATCTTACATATGTCCAAAAAAACAGAATCACAGCAAAGAACGATCCAAAAGTGTCAAGAATATTACCATAGAAATAAAAAGGAGCTTAAAAATATCGAGGAATTCCATAAGACTTATAATCGATTCGATGCAGTTCGCTGGCACACAAAAGACTCTTTTGTTTGTAAACTAGTCAAGAAAGCTTTGAGAACACAAGATATCGACCAATTGGATACATTTCGCTTTTTAATCGTGGATCTTCGCCGCAGTCTAGGTGAGAATGAAGGGCTGAAAATAAAAGAAGTAAACTAAATAAACTTGGCTGTGTCAATTATGCGAACGGTGATTGTCACCAAACCTTGGAATGTGATTTGAAAGCGTTGAAAATGAAAGAAATCTGTGTTCCTTCTACCCATTGCAATACAGCTGCAAGTCTGCCGTTACATCATTCGATTCAACATGAGAAACTGAGGTGACGAAATGTTTTTTTGCACTTATGAGCACTTTTTCTTGGGAGAAAATCAAGTTTTCCCAAGACCTCTGCTCAAAATTTTCTCTGCTAAATTTTTAGTTTTAGGTTATCACAGGGTATCCACGGATGCCACAAGTCTTTTGATCTTTTTGTGATATCCTGCTCTCTTGAGTAAATAAAATCTTATCTTATCTAAAACGCCGAAAAGTTGGCCAATTTCGGCTGCTTATGTAGAAAACCGGCAAGGACCCCCGCCGGATAAATCTGGCTCCACCTCAACCTTGTCTCAAACGTATACCAGAAGAAAGCTAACATGTTCTTACATGCTTCCATGTATTTTTTTTGGCTTTGACTTAAATAGAAAAAAAATTCCCTAAGTCATTCTCATTTGTGGTCATACATACATTTTCGCCTATATAGCCATACATTGCGCCCTTCAGATTTTTTACATGAAACACTTCTTTCTAAGTTTTTACAATAGGAACAGATGCATCTTGCTTCGCTCTTTAAAATGCATATCGATGATCGATACTCATTGTCTTTCTTCTAAAGAGATATAGGATTTTCCAGCTCCATTGGCATCAGTTTTTTATATAAACCCTCAGACATGCTTCCAGTGCAATAACTCTTTCTCTCACATACCACAGTGAACAAGACTGAACCGTTCACAGAAACTGCGCTGTCACTCCCTCTATAGAATGCACTAGTTTCGATTAAAAAAAAAGTGGGCCAAAATGGTCATCGACCTAATGACATTCTAGAGAGGCACCATTCTGAAGGTGTCTGTACAAAGTTTTTGTAAATGGTTTCAGGAACAAGTTACGTCAAAACCAAAGTTTAACATAAGATTTATGTTCAGCTCTAAAATATGAGATGAATAGACTGTATTTAAGATTCTGAGAGAGTCTTAAATACAGTCGGGTACGATTTTGAGACATACCCAAAGTTCTGCGATTACGTCATACAATCACATTCAGTACTTCAAAGTATTGAGGCTCTACTCGCTGAAAGAAACAGCGTTCTGCAAATCCAAATATACTGTTTTGTAGAGTTTTTGAAGCACTACAAGACAGACTAATTGCTTTTCGTTTTTGTTTGAATGGCTGCTAAGAGACATTATGTACGATACTGCTGAAATACTGAAATATGAGAAAATTCATATATGTATATTTCTTTACTGCGCCATCATATCGGTTCGAATTTTTGACTGTCTGGACAGGTTTTTATGCTCTTTTCATTATATCCATTTTAACACCTTTCCGCTGCACATTAGAGATGTGCAGGGCGCCGTTACCCTCCCCTGCACGATAGGGTAGGGCCAGGGCTCCGGTGTCACAAGGTAGGGTTGGGGGAGGATACAACAATTTTTCACAGCTTAGGGCCAGGGCTCCAGAAACAGCTACTCTGCACATGTCTACTACACATCTAATTCAGACAAGATGATTCATACTCAGCACACAAGCTTTTGCCGACTGCGTCCTTATATCGAATCATCGGTAATTGAACAAGCTCTAATCGTCTGACGTGATCATTCTTTCAGATTCTATTCTTCAGATCAAGTTCAGCTTCGCCAAATCAATCGTCGTCACTACTATACTGTTCGACCACCAGCTTTACACTGACAAAACCACGCGCGAATCGGATCATCCGTTAGCGAGTACTGAATCCACGCTTTGTACATATTCGCGTTTGAGTGTCGGCTCTGAATGCTACAATCGACAATATCGTCAATGGAATTATCGCTCTCCACAATAAAATCGCCATCAGCACCAAGATGTTCTTCTACATATGTTCGCGCTTACGTAATCTGATAGGTCCCGAAGAATAGTAGATGTTCGCCATTTTTTTTCTATTTGTAGAGAATATCTAGTTCGCAATTTTGTATTGCTGGGCGACGAAGAATTGCACAAGCGATTGCCGAAGCAGAAATTAGTAGTGACGACGATTGATTTGGCGAAGCTGAACTTGATCACTGACCGACATTTCTAATAACCATTCCTTCAAACAGATTTCATATGCATGATTCATCTAAATCTCTCATAATAACGCTTCAGCTATCACTAAAACATTTCTTGATGTGATGACGATCCATTAAGACTTCCGCCAAATGCATCTTGAGGGTTTGAAACAGACTTTTCCTCTCATATAGAAATAGAAGCTGAAAGAATGATCACGTCAGACGATTAGAGTTTGTTCAATTACCGATGATTCGATATAAGGATGCAGTCGGCAAAAGCTTGTGTGCTGAGTATGAATCATCTTGTCTGAATTAGATGTGCAGCGGGAAGGTGTGAAAATGGATCTAATGGAAAGAGCATAAAAACTTGTCCCAACAGTCAAAAATTCGAACCGATATGATGGCGCAGTAAAGAAATATACAAATATGAATTTTCTCATATTTCGGTGTTTCAGCAGTATCACACATAATGTCTCTTAGCGAACAGCCATTCAAACAAAAATGAAAAGCAATTAGTCTATCTTGTAGCGCTTCAAAAGCTCTACAAAACAGTATATTTGAATTTGCAGAACGCTGTTTCCTTCAGCGAGTAGAGCTTCAATACTTCGAAGTACTGAATGTGATTGTATGACGTAATCGCAGAATCTCGGGTATGTCTCAAAATCGTACCCATAAGACTCTCTCAGAATCTTAAATACAGTCTATTCATCTCATATTTTAGAGCTGAGCATAAATCTTATGTTAAACTTTGGTTTCGAAGTAACTTGTTCCTGAAACCATTTACAAAAACTTTGTACAGACACCTTCAGAATGGTGCCTCTCGAGAATGTCATTAGGCCGATGACCACTTTGGCCCACTTTTTTTTTAATCGAAACTAGTGCATTTTGTAGAGGGAGTGATAGTGCAGTTTCCGAGAACGGTTCAGTCTTGTTTATTGCGGTATGTGAGAGAAAGACGTATTGCACTGGAATCATGTCTAAGGCTTTATATAAAACGCTGATGCCAATGGAGCTGGAAAATCCTATATCTCTTTAGAAGAAAGACAATGAGTAGCGATCATCGATATGCATTTTAAAGAGCGAAGCAAGATGCATCTGTTCCTATTGTAAAAACTTAGAAAGAAGTGTTTGATGTAAAAAATCTGAAGGGTGCAATGTATGGCTATATAAGCGAAAATGTATGTATGATCACAAATGAGAATGACTTCGGGAATTTTTTTTCTATTTGAGTCAAAGCCAAAAAAAATACATGGAAGCATGTAAGAAC